GCCAGCCCCTTCCCCCCCAGCCAGCACAGCCGGAGGTGGCAGGTGGCCAACATCGGGAAAGGCAGGCAGCACCTGGGCAAGGGGGACACAACCCCCACGGGGGTGGTTGGGACCCAGATTTTGAGGGCACAGCCAGGGCACTTGGCACAGGCGTCACCATCAGGCCAGCCCTGAGCACAGCATGGCGTGATGCCAGCTGGACCAGCCCCTTCCCCCCCAGCCAGCACAGCCGGAGGTGGCAGGTGGCCAACATCGGGAAAGGCAGGCAGCACCTGGGCAAGGGGGACACAACCCCCACGGGGGTGGTTGGGACCCAGATTTTGAGGGCACAGCCAGGGCACTTGGCACAGGCGTCACCATCAGGCCAGCCCTGAGCACAGCATGGCGTGATGCCAGCTGGATCCCCAGCATGCTGGCAGGCATTTACGGTGCCCACTCCCAGCCTCCTTTTAAAAGCCTTGCATCTCACTGCTCGGCAGCCCCCCGTCCTGCTCCTCACCAGGGTGCTCAGCCCTCGGCGGGCAGCGGGGGCACAGATGCCAGGGCAGGCAGGAGGTGGGCGTAGATGTCGATGCCCCGCAAGAAGACTTGCTCGTTGAGGAACTCATTGTGGTCATGGAGCAGCACTGGGGTGCTGGCTCCTGCTTGAGGCTGCAGGTCTCACCCCGGGTGGAGGACCCACGGGTGGGCTGGCATCGCACTCACCGCTCGGATGTAGCGGCTGTCAGTGGCAGCTGGGAAGATCTCGAGCTTGAGCTGCAGCTTCCTGACAAACAAGACCCCGCGTCAGCATGGGCACAGGGGCAGCCAGGTCCCCTGTCCCCCTGCCACCCTGTGGGCATAGACCACACCAGGAAGGTCCCTGAGCCCTGCAGGACACTCAGTCCCAACCCTTTTGGGGGGCCACAGGGAGATGCCCTGGCATGGCATGGAGCATCTCCTCCCAACCCTGGCCGTGACCATAGAGAGCCCCAGGAACCCCCCCCAGATCCCCCCAGAGGATGTCTCTCCCCACCAGGGTCCTGCCCTTCCTGGGGACACTACTCACATGTCCCTGCAGACCCCGCTGAAGGCCTTCCACCACGGGTCTGACTCCTCGGTGGAGGTGACATGTTGGTCCATGTACTTCTGAGGGAGGGAGAGGGCAGGGGAGTTGGCACGGGGCAGGGGAAAGATGGGCACGATGCACCTGGGTGGCCAAGACCCCTCACCTGGAGAAACTCATAGGTGACGCCATCCCCGGCACCCTTGCACCATGCGGCCACCTGCTCCTCGAAGGCCTGAGGCAGAGACCAGAGGAGGGGTGTGAGTGGGGTACCCCCCAACCCACTCCCCTCCTGGGTGGGGGCAGCATGATGTCCACCTTCAGGTCCACGGTGGGTGGGATGCGGACATCGAAGCCTGCTGCCATCTCGGAGGGCACCACGTTGAAGGAGACGCCCCCCTCCAGCATGGTCAGGTTGAGCGAGGTGACATCCCCTAGGGTCAGGCTTGAGTCGGACTTGAGCCTCGGGGGACGCAAGGGAGAGTCACCCTCCGCCACCCAGGAAGGAGGGGAAGCGCTCCCCCACCCTGCCGTCACCCCCAAATGGGGAAACTGAGGCATGGGGCGGTGGCGCCGATCAGAGCCTGGCTTGGGATCCCAAGGACCCCCTCCATGGACTGAACTGAAGCCACCGCCATCCCGCTGCCCATCTCCTACCTCTGCTTCTCGCTCTCCCTGAAGGCCAGGAAGGAGTTGATGACTTTGTGCTGGGGAGGGAAGGGCAGGGGGGGTGAGGAGCAGCCCTGTGGGCAGGCACCTGGCAGCCCCAGGGCAGGTGTGTGGGGGGGGTGGGGTGTACCCCCTCTCTTACCATCTTCTCAGCTGCTGTGTTGCTGATGAAGCGGGACCCGTGCCCAGGGCTGCCCACACACTTCACCTTTATCCCTGTGTCAGCGGGGGGAGACGGAGGCATTGAGCAGAAAGTCTGGGGCAGCACTGGTGCCCCAGCACCCAGCAGAGGCAGGGACAGGGTGGTGGGCACACAGTTACTCACACCACGGGCTCTTCTCGCCATAGAAGACACTGTAGGTGTCAGACGGGCTGGCCAGGCCTGCGGTGGGCACAGACAGGGGGTCAGAGGGGCATGAGGGGGCCATGATTTGCCCCGCTCTGTTCTGCCCTGGCAGGATTTCCCCTCCAGGTTGGCACTGTGTGGGTCACTGGCTGTGGCAAGGAGTCCCCAAGGGGGTCCCCAGAAGCCGTGCCAGGTGCCTGCGCCCGGGTGGTTATGCCAACAGGCAGAGGGGTGCGTGCCAAGAGGAGACACATCGCCGTGCCAGCCCTGCCACCACTCACCCTCGTCCAGGGCGAAGCCCACGTTGAGCGCTCTGAACTCGGGCCGCTGCACAAACATCTCCATGCCTTTGTGTCCGCCCATCTCCTCATCTGCGGGGGAGAGCCAGGCATGGAGGAAGGAACCGGGGCGTCCCCTGGCCCACCACCCCCCAGTCCTCCTTCCATGCCAGCCTGGGTGGCCACCAGCACACCCAATGTCCCCCACCCTGGAAACCCCTCCAGCCCTGATCTAGGGGAGCTCAAAATTTGGAGAGGCTGCCAGGGGTGTGCCTGGGTGCCACACCATGGGGAACTCCAGAGCATCACTCAGCTGCCAGCACCTCCTGTCCTCCCAAGAAAGGACACCCTGGGGACTCACCAGGCACAAAGGTGAGGTGAATGGTGCGGGCAAAACACTTTCCCTCTGCCTTCAGCCTCCGGATGGCCTCGAGGTACCTGCGGGGAGAAGGCAGTGCCTGGGCATCACTGAGGAGAGGGGGCTGGTGTGCTCTGGGCCACCCCGGGGTGGGGGTCAAGCAGTGGCACCCACAGCCCCAGGGACCCTGGGGATGGTGGCATCCCACCCTGCATCACTCAGAGGCACTCTCATGCCGTGTCTGCTCCCCTCGGTGGGTGCAGAGCCCTCCACTCACTGGATGGAGATGCATTTCATGTCCTGGGCACCCCGAGCATAGATGTTGCCTTGTGAGTCCTTAACAGCCTCGAAGGGTGGGTAGGTCCAGTGTTCCTGCAGGGAACAGCAGCCGTGACAGCAGAGGGGCAAGGCGGCACCAGCTCCCATTCGCCTCCCACCCCCAGTTCTCCCCAATGTGCCCATCCCACCCCTCGCCCTGTCCCAGCACCTCAAAGACGGGCACGACGTCGGTGTGGGAGTTGAGGAGGATGGAGCGCAGGCGGGGGTTCGTGCCCTGCCAGGTCAGGATCAGCACCACGTGGCCCTGGCACACCTGTGGGGGGAGGGCAGGACGTCACTGGGGTCCAGGCTGGGGACAGAGGGGCTGAGATTGGCTGGCTGGAGCCGAAAAGCACCAGTCCGGGAAAAGTTTCTTGATGCTGCCCAGCAGGTCAGCCCTTTCTCTGCTGGGAGAGGGCAGGCAGCTGGAGGAGGCGTGCCCGCACCTCCCCGCAGCTAGACGGGAGCCTGGCGCGGGCGCAAGACCTGGCTGCAATTCAGGCAGAGGAGGGGAGATGAACCCAGTGTCTTCCCCTGGTGCCCAGGAGTCCCCTAGGAGATCCGGTGCCCAGCAGGAGGGACATCCCCAGGCAACGTGACCCTGCCAGGCCCCCAGCTAATCATAGCACAGGCGGCTGCAAAGGTCAGCAGGGACCCGTCCAAATACAGGCTTAAGGAAGGGCTCAGGTCAGCAGAGGATTACAGGCAGCGGGCAGGGGAACAGCCTGGTCACTAAGGACCCTGGCATGGATGGACGGACAGACAGAATGGGGGCTGCTCCTTGCCACCCTCACCTCCACTTTCTGGCAGGCCAAGCCCAGGTCGGTGCCAACACGCTCCAGAAACTGGATAGCTGCATCTGGGGAGGAGCAGGAATTTTTGGGATCTCCCTCCCCTCCCCCTGCAACCCCCCAGGGGTCCCAAGGTTCTCCGGGGTTCCCAGGCCAAGGAAAGAGGTGACCAGAGAGTGCAGGTGATGGAGGTCCTGAGCACGAGAGGTGGCTGGGAGTAGGGACAGGAGCAGTTTGTCACTGTCCCTTTGGGGTGAGGACTAGGGGAACATGAAAAAATAAAAACTGAAGGGAGCGAGTTCAGGTGGGACGGTCCTCCATAGGAGTTTTGGGAGCTCCTCACCAGTCAAAAAATCTCAATGTAGTTTAGTGGGAGGATGGAAACATTAACGGAAGGAGGTCTAAAACAGGGTTATCACAAGCATCCATCCCAGAGCCAGGGCAGCATGGAAAGAGGGAGCACTGGGGCACAGGGCTGGAGGAAGCAAATGGCAACTCTGGGTGCAGTCGAGACGTCTCTGTCCCAGCCAAAGGTGCCCTCAGAGATAAGGCACAAAGGTGTTTGCTCCTTAACACCACGATCAAAGCAGCCCTGGCCGAGGACTTGGGCATCTGGGTCCAAAGACCGGAGCTGCAAGGTAGAGGAGAAGGAGCCACACTTCCAGATCGCCACACAGCTCCCCGTCCCGCCCCCCCATCCTCACCATAGTCAGGTTTGGGGTAGACGGTGTCGATTCTCAGGTACTCCCGGAAAAGCGTAACTGAGGGGTCCTCTGAGGCCCCCGTGCCCTTCCCAGGCTTCCCAGGTGCCATGTCAGGGACCTGGGCTGCGAAGCCCTGGGGGAAGGAGCAGGGAGATGGTTAATCACCCACTGGCCCCTCCAAAGTCCGCTGGCAAGCTCGGTCGTCACGGAAACCAAAGTGGTACAGAGCAAAGGTCCTCCCCACACCCACCCCCCCCCCCATTTGAGTCCTGGGATGCTGCCACCAGGGGAGAAGTCCGCCCCACCTCTCTACAGGGGCAGGATGGGGTCTTGTCCCCCCCCCCACCCTTCAACCCCCTCCCAAAAGCACATGTTCCTGCCCCAAATGTGGTGCCAGGGCAAGCTGTGATGCCCAGGCGTGGGGCAAGCCGTGGGTTAGGGCTAGGTGGGGTGTAGGGGGATAGCAGGGAGGAAAGGGGAGCAACAAGGTGGGAAAGGGGGTTATGGGGGGAAGAAGCATGAATGGGGCAGGGGCACGCGGTGGTCAGGGTTAGCCAGTAGTTGGGGGTCCAGGGGATGTGGAGGAGTGCAGGCAGGGAAGGCACGATGCTCGTGTAAAGGGGTGCAGGTAAGGAAAGGGGGGTGGCCAGGGGAAGCAGGACAATGCTTAGGGGCACACGGGGGTGCAGCAGGAGGGGTGAAGGGGAGCACTGGGGGAGCTATGGGAGTAGGGGGTGCAGAGGGCCTATGAGAAAGGTGCGGGGGGATCATACTT